ATGTTCATGATGTCAATCACTGGATTGTCTGGTCCAGACTTGATTATTTATAGACCACCGTCATATAGCAGGAATATTGCTGATTGCGGCGTTAAACAACAAACAAACGAACACACAAACAATTGATACTTTTCATTGATACTTTTCTTTGATCTCATCTGCTTTATGAAAATGATTTGATACAAAAGAATCTTTTCCATTTATCATTATTCCCCATAACTATTATCTTGAATCATTTCATTCTCAATTGGGGACACGGGTGGCCCAGTCGTCTAAGGCGCCGCGATTCGCTGTGCAGAGTTGCGTCCCTTGGGCACGCCAGAAACCTATGATTGTGGGTTCGAATCCCGGTTCGCCCCGATTATGTTTCTAGGTTTGTCAGCACCATACCCGTGCTCGTGGGTTTCACCGAAGTGGTAAACGTCTGAGACCTGCATCACTTCGGGCTTTCCTCACACCTTAAGCTGACACGCCGTGATATAAGCGGCGTTAAACCCAACTCACTCACTCACTCACTCATTCTCAATTCGACATGTTTTAACCTGATTGACTCTTGTTGATATAACAGACTGTGGTCTCAATAACACTGATCACTGAGTAGTCATTATCACATCTGTAAAACAGATCAACACAGATCTGTTGTAATCCTGGCACTTAAACATGACATGAAATACAGAGGCTGTGATGTGTGACGTCTCTGTGACACAGATTGTGTGTCACTTGTCCTCTTACCTCCATTGTGCGGGAGCATCCTGCCGGCTGTGGCTGGTGAGTTGTAGCGAGATATTAATCACTCACACCACACTGGGGCCACCTGGAGACAGGTGCCACTGAAATGGTAGAGACCACATGTTGAGAAGTGAACGTCAGCTATGGATAAGAAGAGGCTGTGTAAGGAGTGCTATGTGCATGGAAAGTTGCACACGTTTTTGCAAGCTGTACTCAGTGTTAAAGAACACCAGGAACACGGTAAGTAAATTACATGTCTACATCTATGTTCAGTGTTAAAGAACAAGATAGAACATGGGCCATGATGATTGGGAACTACCAAGGGTGTAACCTGTGAAGATCTGGACCAGAACTGGTCTTCAGCAACCCGTGCTGTCATAAGAGGTGACTGATGGGATAGGGTGGTCAGGTTTGCTGACTCTCAATCACTAGATGGTCTGGTCCGCCATCATAGAGCTGGAATATTTGCTGGGTTTAGCATTAAACAACAAACAAACTAAACCCTAGGACATGGGGATTGGGAACTACCGATCATGCTACATGTCAGAACCACCTCGGACGTGGGGATTGAGATCTACCAATGATGTTACATGTCAGAACCACCTCGGACGTGGGGATTGAGATCTACCAATGATGTTACATGTCAGAGCCACCTCGGACGTGAGGATTGAGATCTACCAATGATGTTACATGTCAGAGCAACCTAGGACTTGGGGATTGGGAACTACCAATGAAGTTACATGTCAGAGCCACCTCAGACGTGAGGATTGAGATCTATCAATAATGTTACATGTCAGAGCCACCTCGGACTTGGGGATTGGGAACTACCAATGATGTTACATGTCAGAGCAACCTCGGACATGGGGATTGGGAACTACCAATGATGTTACATGTCAGAACTACCTCGGACATGGGGATAGGGAACTACCAATGATTTGACATGTTAGAACCACCTCGGACATGGGGATTGGGAACTACCAATGAAGTTACATGTCAGAACCACCTTGGACATGGGGATTGGGAACTACCAATGATGTTACCTGTCAGAACCAGCTTGGACATGGTGTTTGGAAACTACCAATGATGTTAAATGTCCGAACCACCTCGGATATGGGGATTGGGAACTACCAATGATGTTACATGTTAGAACCACCGGGAACTACTAAGGGTGTTGCATTTAAGAACCACCTTGGATGTGGTGATTGCAAATTACCAAGGTATTCAGGAGCCACTGTGAAAAGGACTTAAAATTTGATAAAATACCTTGAAAAAGAATTGAATATTGCAACTATTGTTAACTCTGCAGTTCACTTTTTATTTCTGTACATGAGGCCAGTGGCCCATATACAAGGGTAATATAATAGCAATGAGAGCTCAGGTTGGTAATCCTTAAAAATCATCAAAATGCCTTATGAAAGAATTGAAGTGGGCAACCATTGTTAACTCTGCTGTTAAGTACCCCAAAATAATTCTCTAAAAATTGAAGGTGACACGTAGAAGTCCACAACCTATGATCAGTGAAACTGTTGAATCACTTGTGTGGCCTGGAGTAGTGTAATCAGTAGCTGGATATACATATGGAAACGTTCTGACAATGAAATGATGTGGGATTGTCCACATAAATATGTTTATAAGCACACATTTGTGTTAATTGTAGTTTTAAAGAATATGATCCCTGCCTTGAAATGGCTCTTTGACCTTCATGTATAAGAAAGAAGAGGCATATGATTTGCTGGCTAAAGTACTGTGTGCACCATGGTTCTGTTGTAGCTTCAGTAATGCAGGGTATCGAGGACATTATTTTTGAAAAAAACTTACTTTTTAGGGAGGTGTCACAGCGCTCTGAGTTGTTTCAAGTCTCAGTGCAGAGTGAAGTCCCATTGTATGCAGAACCTCTTGTTTGTGTCTTCAAATCCCAGATTTGACATAGTTAGTATCGTTGGTTTCTCAGCAACATACCTGTGTTCTTGGATGTTGCCAAAGTGGTAAACATCTACCACATGCATCCCGTAGGTTTTAAAACTAAGAACAGACCAACACAACCGAACTAAGTCACTGTCAAACGTGACTGACCTGAGTCACTCAGTCATCCATTGAAACAGGGTAGCATCTGTAGTTGAGGTAGTCATCAGGACCAGGGTCTTGTCCCTAACGTGATCGTAACTCCCATACCTGAACATAGACCTACGATAGTCTTAGCGCTATGGTTGTTTTGTACAACGGCACCCAGATGAAGGGTCAAGATTGATGAAAATCTGGGATTCAAACCCATTCCCTACTGATCCTTGGCCTAGAGACATTATACCACATGGCTAACTGAAGCATCTTGGTCCACAGGGTGGAGGGAGCAGGTTGTGCAGACACGCACCAGTGTACCTGCCGCGCTGAAAGAAAGTCTACTTATCCCAGCAGACATTTCTGTGATTTGGTTTTGAAATAAATCAACATGATCAAATGGCTGATTGCTATTAGATTGATATTGTTTCTTTCATTTCAACCGCCATGCGAGTCTAGTATCATGTTCATGAATTCCTTTCTTTGTACAGGGTTTATGCAGATAAGTTTTGAATCGTACAAATTTGGTGTTGATCCAAGTTGTCAGGGATCTGATTACTTCCAGTATTAATGACCACCCGTTGGAACACTATCAGCCTGGAATTCTCCCTGTCAATGACATCTTATCCCAAACCGGTTGAATGCTTACATTATCAGGCAGGTATCAGAGCTCTAGGAGACTTGATCGCTCGGTTGTTATTACAGCCTACAAGATTAGGGAGAAGCATGGCTGAGGACCAGCTAGAAGTTGTGAGCAGGGCTGGAGACACACACTATTACGTGTAGTGTATACAGCTAGACATTCCTGGGGGGAGTGGATCGTTATGTGGATAGAAAGCTAATGGGAAGCCTGAATTGCACGGATGTGTCGTTTGTGATCCTTCCTGATGGAAGTTCTGTGTTTTGATACATGAGGTTGTGGGAGTACCCAGTGGAAGTGGACATGGAATTAGTTTTGTTCCTAACATGATCAAGGATTGTCATTGGAAATGTGTATCACCAGGCATTTGATGTTAAGCTCTTACTGAACACATCTTAAAGGGAGATAGGCTTGGACAAATTGGCAGGCCTGGGCTGTATCTTCTGGTACACTGAGGTTGTGAGAGTGGACCATGGAACTAGTGTTGTCCATCAGGGTTACTGGAAATGTGTATCCTCCCCATTTGTTGGCAAAGGTTTTACTGAACACAACTTGGCAGTTTGATAAAACTGTTTAGACACAGCTTTGCTTGTCTGCCAACTCAGATGTTGTAATGTATATCAGTATTACATTTCATGATAACTGTTTACACAGAGACACTGCCTAGTATCACAAAAGGCAGTAATTGGGGATTCCTAGACCTGGACAGCATACAGGCGCTAGACCGTGAAGAAACATCTCAGTTCTTGTAACATAAGTGTGATCAAACTGTTAGCGCACAGTGACGTTTATGGGCTTGACAACCTGGTGTATATATCAATCTCATTCGGCACAGTGATCTGAAGCATGAAAATCTCAGACATATTTCTGCTGAAGGGGGTGTCGCCTTCAACCCTGAGTGGGGGTAAGACTTTGGGTGGGAGCACTACCTCAAGTGTGGGGATGTTGGTTACAACACTGTGCATGCTGTGTATATCATGGAATTGTGGTTATGGAAGTTTGCTGTGGAAATAATTTCAAAGCACATGTGTGATTACTTTATATTGAAAATAATAGGTTATCATTTTCCCTCAAAATATTCCTGTCAAATACGTGTTTGATGGGTTCACAAGTACATAAAATCACCCAATATCAGCATGATCTGCACGCTATATGTTTTTAATATGCAGTATTTGAAATGAAATGTTATTCTCTAGGCATGCTAGGGGTGCAAGCTACAGGGATCCAGGACCCTTTATCTGAATGCATGGAAGATGTATGTCAGCAGGAACAACATCATCAACAGGACTAGACATGGCTACGAGCACTGACTAGTCAGTTAATCCAAGTGCGTTTGAAGCCTAGATGGACTCTCCCCAAATCTAGTTATTTTGCATAAACCACTAGTCTGAAATAAGCTGTGGACTAGTTGGATGTGATGAATTGTGTCCACCCATGATGGACATGTGGAGGATCATGTTGTTGTCAGTGATGTCGTCGTCGGTGATGCTGTAGGTGCTGCATCAGTGGTTGTTGTCAGTGATGCTGTTGTCGGTGCTGCTGTAGTTGCTGTAACAGTAGTTGTTTCCTATTTCAGAGAAGATCCCGATACACTACCGTGGTGGCAAGAGACCAATAGTTCCAGCTGCAGCATGTGCACATGACCTGAGTCGGCCGGATGTGGTCAGCCCGGATGATGATGAAAGTGTCGGCTCCCACCCACACAGTGCTCAGTTTGCACCTAAAGCTCAGAAAGCAGCAGCATTCTTACCAGGTAACCTGCACTGGTGATCACAAGATGTGGACAATTCTTAACAAATGTCTCTACTTGCAGTGATTTTCTGTAATATTTGTTGTTTTGAAAGAAGTTTATTTATGATTAATGGTATTTTTGATGTGATAAACCAGACTAATATACTAAGTATTAAATTGGATAAATAAGCAAATGTTTTCAATAAGCTCCCTACATCAGTACTTGATCTATGAACTACTGCGTTAAGTTCTAAACAAGTTAAGATTAGGGTTCTCATGTGTGGGCGTTTCTGTAAATAATACAAACTTAAAAAATTAGCATTGGTGATTTATCTAGAATACAAAATCGTGAAGTCATATTCACTGCAGTTATTGATTTGGAAAGGAGAGATCATTCTTGTTACATATAGGTGATATATGTCTTTGTGTTGGGGAAAAAACCATCAAACCCTTCAACCCTGTGTATAAGACGACCCCCTTTGAAAGCCCCCCAATTCTAGGTACGCAAAACTCGTCTTGTACACAGTGATATATGGTAGAAGACCATGAAATATGATTTACTGGCAAAAGTTCTCAATCTCACTGAGGTTCCAACAGCCACAGGACTTCGTAGAATACTAAGTTTTCAAGATCCAATGGAAATTGGTGTGAATAAAACCGTAATCGCTTGCTCAGGGACATCCTTCATGCTGGGAGAACAAAAGGAAGTCTTTTATGTGATTTACACTTGTGTGTGGAAGATATTCAGGTTTAAGGCATAAAATGGAATTACTGGATAATAAACAAATCATACTTGATTCCATGCCATTTGATTGGCTAACGAAGAAATGTTTTGCATTTATGCTTGCATGAAGCAAAGAATATTATTCCATGCCCGCTAGCGGACTGCTGTTTCCTGATTGGCTGATTATAGCTTCAAAAAGGTTGTATTTGTTGTATTATTGCGCTGAATGATGTCACAGATTTTGTGTTGTTGTCCACAGGTTTGTGTGTTAATGGCTAAATGAGCAGTCAGACTGTTTGTCTTACATATATTTAAAAGAATTGACTTCAACATGTTTTTGCATTTATGGAGGTATAAACTTAGAAATTGGTGTGCACACTGTGTAAATCTCGTAGCTGTGAGGATTTACACAGTGTGCTCAGCGGTATTTATGTTTATACCTCCATAAATGCAAACAAAATTTAAGCACTATGGTTATAACAAACTCGAAGGGACCTATAATTTTAATTGTAATAGGCGTATGTACAGCATATATACAGCAAATGGCCGTAACCTAAAAATGCAATTTGTTATATATCCTTTAGTTTGTTATAAGCGTAAGAGGCGACTAACAGGATCATGTGGTCAGGCTCGCTGACTTGGTTGATGCATGTCATCATATCCCAATTGATCGGTGCTCATGATGTCAATCACTGGATTGTCTGGTCCATACTCGATTATTTACAGACCGCCATCATATAGCTGGAATATTGTCGAGTGCGGCGTTAAACAACGAACAAACAAACAAACAAATGTAATAAGCGTATTGTTATGAAAATAGTTTACTGTATTTCTCTTTGTTGTACACATCCCCTGACCGGCACACATCTGTAGCTCCCCCACCACTGTATTTCTCTCTGTTGTACACATCCCCTGACCGGCACACGTCTCTAGTTCCCCCACCACTGTATTTCTCTCTGTTGTACACATCCCCTGACCGGCACACGTCTCTAGTTCCCCCACCAGTGTATTTCTCTTTGTTGTACACATCCCCTGACCGGCACACGTCTCTAGTTCCCCCGCCACTGTATTTCTCTTTGTTGTACACATCCCCTGACCGGCACACGTCTCTAGTTCCCCCGCCACTGTATTTCTCTTTGTTGTACACATCCCCTGACCGGCACACGTCTCTAGTTCCCCCGCCACTGTATTTCTCTTTGTTGTACACATCCCCTGACCGGCACACGTCTCTAGTTCCCCCGCCACTGTATTTCTCTTTGTTGTACACATCCCCTGACCGGCACACGTCTCTAGTTCCCCCGCCACTGTATTTCTCTTTGTTGTACACATCCCCTGACCGGCACACGTCTCTAGTTCCCCCCCCACTGTATTTCTCTTTGTTGTACACATCCCCTGACCGGCACACGTCTCTAGTTCCCCCGCCACTGTATTTCTCTTTGTTGTACACATCCCCTGACCGGCACACATCTCTAGTTCCCCCGCCACTGTATTTCTCTTTGTTGTACACATCCCCTGACCGGCACACGTCTCTAGTTCCCCCGCCACTGTATTTCTCTTTGTTGTACACATCCCCTGACCGGCACACGTCTCTAGTTCCCCCGCCACTGTATTTCTCTTTGTTGTACACATCCCCTGACCGGCACACGTCTCTAGTTCCCCCGCCACTGTATTTCTCTTTGTTGTACACATCCCCTGACCGGCACACGTCTCTAGTTCCCCCACCACTGTATTTCTCTCTGTTGTACACATCCCCTGACCGGCACACATCTGTAGCTCCCCCACCACTGTATTTCTCTCTGTTGTACACATCCCCTGACCGGCACACGTCTCTAGTTCCCCCACCACTGTATTTCTCTCTGTTGTACACATCCCCTGACCGGCACACGTCTCTAGTTCCCCCACCACTGTATTTCTCTTTGTTGTACACATCCCCTGACCGGCACACGTCTCTAGTTCCCCCGCCACTGTATTTCTCTTTGTTGTACACATCCCCTGACCGGCACACATCTCTAGTTCCCCCGCCACTGTATTTCTCTTTGTTGTACACATCCCCTGACCGGCACACGTCTCTAGTTCCCCCGCCACTGTATTTCTCTTTGTTGTACACATCCCCTGACCGGCACACGTCTCTAGTTCCCCCGCCACTGTATTTCTCTTTGTTGTACACATCCCCTGACCGGCACACGTCTCTAGTTCCCCCGCCACTGTATTTCTCTTTGTTGTACACATCCCCTGACCGGCACACGTCTCTAGTTCCCCGCCACTGTATTTCTCTTTGTTGTACACATCCCCTGACCGGCACACGTCTCTAGTTCCCCCGCCACTGTATTTCTCTTTGTTGTACACATCCCCTGACCGGCATACGTCTCTAGTTCCCCCGCCACTGTATTTCTCTTTGTTGTACACATCCCCTGACCGGCACACGTCTCTAGTTCCCCCGCCGCTGTATTTCTCTTTGTTGTACACATCCCCTGACCGGCACACGTCTCTAGTTCCCCCGCCACTGTATTTCTCTTTGTTGTACACATCCCCTGACCGGCATACGTCTCTAGTTCCCCCGCCAGTGTATTTCTCTCTGTTGTACACATCCCCTGACCGGCACACGTCTCTAGTTCCCCCGCCACTGTATTTCTCTTTGTTGTACACATCCCCTGACCGGCACACGTCTCTAGTTCCCCCGCCAGTGTATTTCTCTTTGTTGTACACATCCCCTGACCGGCACACGTCTCTAGTTCCCCCGCCAGTGGTGAGTGACTCACAGGAGAGAACAGGTCCCCAGTAACATATGTTTAATGTATGAGGGGACTTAATGAAATGGGTGGTAAGGCTTGGTACCTGGGTTGATTGCATATCATCATACCCGACAACAGTGGACATTGCTCATAATATCAATCACTGGTTTGTCAGGTCCAGAATCTAGAATCTAGCTGAGTGCATTATTACATCACACAGAACCTTCCTCCTTGTGCTCCTCACTGTATCATTATATCGCTCTATCACTGACAGGTGACCGGGTCATATTTGCTGAGAGTCCATCAGCGCCCGGCATCCCTGTGGTTTACAGGGCCCCGGAGGAACGGGCATCAAACCCAGACAGACTCAACTTGGACAGGTGAGTTAGGACATGAACCTGACATGAACACATGATGCTCAGGTTACAGGAGATTGTTGGTATAAGGTTGTACCAGTTGAGGAATTGGGTGTACCAGTTGAGGAATTGGGTGTACCAGTTGAGGAATCAGGTGTACCAGTTGAGGAATTAGGTGTAACAGTTGAGGAATTGGGTGTAACAGTTGAGGAATTGGATGTAACGGTTGAGGAATTGGGTGTAACAGTTGAGGAATTGGGTGTAACAGTTGAGGAATTGGGTGTAACAGTTGAGGAATTGGGTGTACCAGTTGAGGAATTGGGTGTACCAGTTGAGGAATTGGGTGTACCAGTTGAGGAATCAGGTGTACCAGTTGAGGAATTGGATGTAACAGTTGAGGAATTGGATGTAACGGTTGAGGAATTGGGTGTAACAGTTGAGGAATTGGGTGTAACAGTTGAGGAATTGGTTGTAACGGTTGAGGAATTGGGTGTAACAGTTGAGGAATTGGATGTAACGGTTGAGGAATTGGTTGTAACAGTTGAGGAATTGGTTGTAACGGTTGAGGAATTGGATGTAACGGTTGAGGAATCAGGTGTAACAGTTGAGGAATCGGTTGTAACAGTTGAGGAATCGGTTGTAACAGTTGAGGAATCAGGTGTAACAGTTGAGGAATTGGGTGTAACAGTTGAGGAATTGGGTGTACCAGTTGAGGAATCAGATGTAATGGTTGAGGAATCGGTTGTAACAGTTGAGGAATTGGGTGTAACAGTTGAGGAATTGGGTGTAACAGTTGAGGAATTGGGTGTACCAGTTGAGGAATTGGGTGTACCAGTTGAGGAATCAGGTGTACCAGTTGAGGAATTGGATGTAACAGTTGAGGAATTGGATGTAACGGTTGAGGAATTGGGTGTAACAGTTGAGGAATTGGGTGTAACAGTTGAGGAATTGGGTGTAACAGTTGAGGAATCTGATGTAACAGTTGAGGAATTGGGTGTAACAGTTGAGGAATCTGATGTAACAGTTGAGGAATTGGGTGTAACAGTTGAGGAATCTGATGTAACAGTTGAGGAATTGGGTGTAACAGTTGAGGAATTGGGTGTAACAGTTGAGGAATTGGGTGTAACAGTTGAGGAATCTGATGTAACAGTTGAGGAATTGGGTGTAACAGTTGAGGAATCTGATGTAACAGTTGAGGAAGTGGGTGTAACAGTTGAGGAATTGGGTGTAACAGTTGAGGAATCGGATGTAATGTTTGAGGAATCGGTTGTAACAATTGGGTGTACCAGTTGAGGAATTGGGTGTACCAGTTGAGGAATTGGGTGTACCAGTTGAGGAATCAGGTGTACCAGTTGAGGAATTGGATGTAACAGTTGAGGAATTGGATGTAACGGTTGAGGAATTGGGTGTAACAGTTGAGGAATTGGGTGTAACAGTTGAGGAATTGGGTGTAACAGTTGAGGAATCTGATGTAACAGTTGAGGAATTGGGTGTAACAGTTGAGGAATCTGATGTAACAGTTGAGGAATTGGGTGTAACAGTTGAGGAATCTGATGTAACAGTTGAGGAATTGGGTGTAACAGTTGAGGAATTGGGTGTAACAGTTGAGGAATTGGGTGTAACAGTTGAGGAATCTGATGTACCAGTTGAGGAATTGGGTGTAACAGTTGAGGAATCTGATGTAACAGTTGAGGAATTGGGTGTAACAGTTGAGGAATCTGATGTAACAGTTGAGGAAGTGGGTGTAACAGTTGAGGAATTGGGTGTAACAGTTGAGGAATCGGATGTAATGTTTGAGGAATCGGTTGTAACAATTGGGTGTACCAGTTGAGGAATTGGGTGTACCAGTTGAGGAATTGGGTGTACCAGTTGAGGAATCAGGTGTACCAGTTGAGGAATTGGATGTAACAGTTGAGGAATTGGATGTAACGGTTGAGGAATTGGGTGTAACAGTTGAGGAATTGGGTGTAACAGTTGAGGAATTGGTTGTAACGGTTGAGGAATTGGGTGTAACAGTTGAGGAATTGGGTGTAACAGTTGAGGAATTGGTTGTAACGGTTGAGGAATTGGGTGTAACAGTTGAGGAATTGGATGTAACGGTTGAGGAATTGGGTGTAACAGTTGAGGAATCTGATGTAACAGTTGAGGAATTGGGTGTAACAGTTGAGGAATTGGGTGTAACAGTTGAGGAATTGGGTGTAACAGTTGAGGAATCTGATGTACCAGTTGAGGAATTGGGTGTAACAGTTGAGGAATCTGATGTAACAGTTGAGGAATTGGGTGTAACAGTTGAGGAATCTGATGTAACAGTTGAGGAAGTGGGTGTAACAGTTGAGGAATTGGGTGTAACAGTTGAGGAATCGGATGTAATGTTTGAGGAATCGGTTGTAACAATTGGGTGTACCAGTTGAGGAATTGGGTGTACCAGTTGAGGAATTGGGTGTACCAGTTGAGGAATCAGGTGTACCAGTTGAGGAATTGGATGTAACAGTTGAGGAATTGGATGTAACGGTTGAGGAATTGGGTGTAACAGTTGAGGAATCTGATGTAACAGTTGAGGAATTGGGTGTAACAGTTGAGGAATCTGATGTAACAGTTGAGGAAGTGGGTGTAACAGTTGAGGAATTGGGTGTAACAGTTGAGGAATCGGATGTAATGTTTGAGGAATCGGTTGTAACAATTGGGTGTACCAGTTGAGGAATTGGGTGTACCAGTTGAGGAATTGGGTGTACCAGTTGAGGAATCAGGTGTACCAGTTGAGGAATTGGATGTAACAGTTGAGGAATTGGATGTAACGGTTGAGGAATTGGGTGTAACAGTTGAGGAATTGGGTGTAACAGTTGAGGAATTGGGTGTAACAGTTGAGGAATCTGATGTAACAGTTGAGGAATTGGGTGTAACAGTTGAGGAATCTGATGTAACGGTTGAGGAATTGGGTGTAACAGTTGAGGAATCTGATGTAACAGTTGAGGAATTGGGTGTAACAGTTGAGGAATTGGGTGTAACAGTTGAGGAATTGGGTGTAACAGTTGAGGAATCTGATGTACCAGTTGAGGAATTGGGTGTAACAGTTGAGGAATCTGATGTAACAGTTGAGGAATTGGGTGTAACAGTTGAGGAATCTGATGTAACAGTTGAGGAAGTGGGTGTAACAGTTGAGGAATTGGGTGTAACAGTTGAGGAATCGGATGTAATGTTTGAGGAATCGGTTGTAACAATTGGGTGTACCAGTTGAGGAATTGGGTGTACCAGTTGAGGAATTGGGTGTACCAGTTGAGGAATCAGGTGTACCAGTTGAGGAATTGGATGTAACAGTTGAGGAATTGGATGTAACGGTTGAGGAATTGGGTGTAACAGTTGAGGAATTGGGTGTAACAGTTGAGGAATTGGGTGTAACAGTTGAGGAATCTGATGTAACAGTTGAGGAATTGGGTGTAACAGTTGAGGAATCTGATGTAACAGTTGAGGAATTGGGTGTAACAGTTGAGGAATCTGATGTAACAGTTGAGGAATTGGGTGTAACAGTTGAGGAATTGGGTGTAACAGTTGAGGAATTGGGTGTAACAGTTGAGGAATCTGATGTAACAGTTGAGGAATTGGGTGTAACAGTTGAGGAATCTGATGTAACAGTTGAGGAAGTGGGTGTAACAGTTGAGGAATTGGGTGTAACAGTTGAGGAATCGGATGTAATGTTTGAGGAATCGGTTGTAACAATTGGGTGTACCAGTTGAGGAATTGGGTGTACCAGTTGAGGAATTGGGTGTACCAGTTGAGGAATCAGGTGTACCAGTTGAGGAATTGGATGTAACAGTTGAGGAATTGGATGTAACGGTTGAGGAATTGGGTGTAACAGTTGAGGAATTGGGTGTAACAGTTGAGGAATTGGTTGTAACGGTTGAGGAATTGGGTGTAACAGTTGAGGAATTGGGTGTAACAGTTGAGGAATTGGTTGTAACGGTTGAGGAATTGGGTGTAACAGTTGAGGAATTGGATGTAACGGTTGAGGAATTGGATGTAACGGTTGAGGAATTGGTTGTAACAGTCGAGGAATTGGTTGTAACAGTTGAGGAATTGGATGTAACGGTTGAGGAATCAGGTGTAACAGTTGAGGAATCGGTTGTAACAGTTGAGGAATCAGGTGTAACAGTTGAGGAATCGGTTGTAACAGTTGAGGAATCAGGTGTAACAGTTGAGGAATTGGGTGTAACAGTTGAGGAATTGGGTGTACCAGTTGAGGAATCAGATATAATGGTTGAGGAATCGGTTGTAACAGTTGAGGAATTGGGTGTAACAGTTGAGGAATTGGGTGTAACAGTTGAGGAAGTGGGTGTAACAGTTGAGGAATTGGGTGTAACAGTTGAGGAATCGGATGTAATGTTTGAGGAATCGGTTGTCACAATTGGGTGTAACAGTTGAGGAATTGGGTGTAACAGTTGAGGAATTGGGTGTAACAGTTGAGGAATTGGGTGTAACAGTTGAGGAATCTGATGTAACAGTTGAGGAATTGGGTGTAACAGTTGAGGAATCTGATGTAACAGTTGAGGAATTGGGTGTAACAGTTGAGGAATCTGATGTAACAGTTGAGGAATTGGGTGTAACAGTTGAGGAATTGGGTGTAACAGTTGAGGAATGGGGTGTAACAGTTGAGGAATCTGATGTACCAGTTGAGGAATTGGGTGTAACAGTTGAGGAATCTGATGTAACAGTTGAGGAATTGGGTGTAACAGTTGAGGAATCTGATGTAACAGTTGAGGAATTGGGTGTAACAGTTGAGGAATTGGGTGTAACAGTTGAGGAATCGGATGTAATGTTTGAGGAATCGGTTGTAACAATTGGGTGTACCAGTTGAGGAATTGGGTGTAACAGTTGAGGAATTGGGTGTAACAGTTGAGGAATCGGATGTAATGTTTGAGGAATCGGTTGTAACAATTGGGTGTAACAGTTGAGGAATTGGGTGTAACAGTTGAGGAATTGGGTGTAACAGTTGAGGAATCGGATGTAATGGTTGAGGAATCGGTTGTAACAGTTGAGGAATCTGTTGTAACAGTTGAGGAATCGGATGTAATGGTTGAGGAATCGGTTGTAACAGTTGAGGAATCAGGTACAACAGTTGATGAACACTGTAAACATATGTTTAGTGGCCATGTCAAATAACGCCAAAAAATCTGCATTGTGTTTTTGAAAAGAAAAAAAAGAAAAAGGGAAAAAAGTAAAATTTGCAATAAAAGCCCTTGTTGATATATCTTGCCCTTGTACTTTCACGTTAACATGGTTACAGAGCATTGTTTGTTTTGTTGGGGTTATCTAAGCCCTTCAACTGTCCCTATGAGGAATTTCACAAACGGATCAAAGGAGTCTTGGTAGCAGTGGCAAGTATTGTGGCACTTCTACTGTGCAATTAAGTACATGTATATATATATATATAAGTATGTATGTATGTGAAATATAGCATTAAGATTGCTTTGGAGACCGAGGCCCATGCCTGGAGTACATAAGTTAAGAGTGCAAGACTTATCTCCCTTTAACAATGTATGTTTGTCTTGGTTGTATATCTTTCCTTCTAATGTGGAGAATGTATCGGAAGTACAGGAAGTGATGTATGTTTTCGTGCCTACTTCCAGACGGAAACTCACGGTATGTCCGATCCTGGAGGGCGAGGAACAGCTCCGCCTACTCAACTACCAACACAACTTCATCACCAAGATTCAACACCTCAGCTCGCTCAAACGCCTCATTTTTCTAGATCTCTATGACAACCAGATAGAAGAGATAAACGGTCTCGGTGCACTCAAGTCCCTCAGGGTGCTCATGCTGGGGAAGAACAAGTAAGTCCTGTTCATTGAGTCCTTGTAGTTACGCTTTGGTTATGGTAGCATAGAGTGAAATCTTGGTGCTACAACTATTCTTAGCCTACTTTAACGTACAAGAGTTACAATCACACCGCTCTGTGGAACAGGGCCCTGGAGTTATGATCACATTAGCACTTAGATCGCTCTGTGGAACAGGGCCCTGGAGTTATGATCATATTAACACTTAGATCGCTCTGTGGAACAGGCTCCTGGAGTTATGATCATATTAGCACTTAGATCGCTCTGTGGAACGGGGCCCTGGAGTTACGATCATATTAGCACTAAGATCACTCTGTGGAACAGGCTGCTGGAGTTATGATCATATTAGCACTTAGATCACTCTGTGGAACGGGGCCCTGGAGTTACGATCATATTAGCACTTAGATCGCTCTGTGGAACAGGCTCCTGGAGTTATGATCATATTAGCGCTTAGATCGCTCTGTGGAACAGGCTCCTGGAGTTATGATCATATTAACTCTTAGATCACTCTGTGGAACAGGCTCCTGGAGTTATGATCATATTAGCACTTAGATCACTCTGTGGAACAGGCTCCTGGAGTTATGATCATATTAGAGCTTAGATCGCTCTGTGGAACAGGCTCCTGGAGTTATGATCATATTAACTCTTAGATCACTCTGTGGAACAGGCTTCTGGAGTTATGATCATATTAGCACTTAGATCACTCTGTGGAACAGGCTCCTGGAGTTATGATCATATTAGCACTTAGATCACTCTGTGGAACAGGCTCCTGGAGTTATGATCATATTAACTCTTAGATCACTCTGTGGAACAGGCTCCTGGAGTTGTGATCATATTAACACTTAGATCACTCTGTGGAACAGGCTTCTGGAGTTATGATCATATTAGCACTTAGATCACTCTGTGGAACAGGGCCCTGGAGTTATGATCATATTAGCACTTAGATCACTCTGTGGAACAGGCTCCTGGAGTTATGATCATATTAGCGCTTAGATCACTCTGTGGAACAGGCTCCTGGAGTTATGATCATATTAACTCTTAGATCACTCTGTGGAACAGGCTCCTGGAGTTGTGATCATATTAACACTTAGATCACTCTGTGGAACAGGCTTCTGGAGTTATGATCATATTAGCACTTAGATCACTCTGTGGAACAGGGCCCTGGAGTTATGATCATATTAGCGCTTAGATCACTCTGTGGAACAGGCTCCTGGAGTTGTGATCATATTAGCACTTAGATCACTCTGTGGAACAGGGCCCTGGAGTTACGATCATATTAGAGCTTAGATCGCTCTGTGGAACAGGCTCCTGGAGTTATGATCATATTAACTCTTAGATCACTCTGTGGAACAGGCTTCTGGAGTTATGATCATATTAGCACTTAGATCACTCTGTGGAACAGGCTCCTGGAGTTATGATCATATTAGCACTTAGATCACTCTGTGGAACAGGCTCCTGGAGTTATGATCATATTAACTCTTAGATCACTCTGTGGAACAGGCTCCTGGAGTTGTGATCATATTAACACTTAGATCACTCTGTGGAACAGGCTTCTGGAGTTATGATCATATTAGCACTTAGATCACTCTGTGGAACAGGGCCCTGGAGTTATGATCATATTAGCACTTAGATCACTCTGTGGAACAGGCTCCTGGAGTTATGATCATATTAGCGCTTAGATCACTCTGTGGAACAGGCTTCTGGAGTTATGATCATATTAGCACTTAGATCACTCTGTGGAACAGGCTCCTGGAGTTATGATCATATTAGCACTTAGATCACTCTGTGGAACAGGCTCCTGGAGTTATGATCATATTAACTCTTAGATCACTCTGTGGAACAGGCTCCTGGAGTTGTGATCATATTAACACTTAGATCACTCTGTGGAACAGGCTTCTGGAGTTATGATCATATTAGCACTTAGATCACTCTGTGGAACAGGGCCCTGGAGTTATGATCATATTAGCACTTAGATCACTCTGTGGAACAGGCTCCTGGAGTTATGATCATATTAGCGCTTAGATCACTCTGTGGAACAGGCTCCTGGAGTTATGATCATATTAACTCTTAGATCACTCTGTGGAACAGGCTCCTGGAGTTGTGATCATATTAACACTTAGATCACTCTGTGGAACAGGCTTCTGGAGTTATGATCATATTAGCACTTAGATCACTCTGTGGAACAGGGCCCTGGAGTTATGATCATATTAGCGCTTAGATCACTCTGTGGAACAGGCTCCTGGAGTTGTGATCATATTAGCACTTAGATCACTCTGTGGAACAGGGCCCTGGAGTTACGATCATATTAGCGCTTAGATCACTCTGTGGAACAGGCTAATGGAGTTACGATCATATTAGCACTTAGGTCACACTGTGGAACAGGGCCCTGGAGTTACGATCATATTAGCACTTAGATCGCTCTGTGGAACAGGGCCCTGGAGTTACGATCATATAAGCGCTTAGATCCCTCTGTGGAACAGGCTCCTGACGTTACGATCATATTAGCGCTTAGATCGCTCTGTGGAATGGGGCCCTGGAGTGACAATCATATAAGCGCTTAGATCCCTCTGTGGAACAGGCTCCTGACGTTACGATCATATTAGCGCTTAGATCGCTCTGTGGAACGGGGACCTGGAGTTACGATCATGTTAGCACTTAGATCGCTCTGTGGAACGGGGCCCTGGAGATACGGTCATATTAGCGCTTAGGTCACACTGTGGAACAGGCTCCTGGCGTTACAATCATATTAGCCCTTAGATCGTTCTGTGGAATGGGGCCCTGGACTAAAACCTTTGGTAATTACAACATGTATGCTTAGTCATTTATCCATGCCATCTCATGAGGTGTTACTCAAGCAATGTGTTAATCCTTTATGATGGCTGTGGTATTTGTCTTGGTCAGTGGAATGTGATGTATGTGGAGGACTTGTAGACTGAGATCATGTGATTGATTATCACTTTCATTTGCAGGATTAAGAAAATAGAAAATCTGGATAATTTGGTCAAACTCGATGTCTTGGACTTACATGGCAATCAGGTATGTCCGTCTGTGTTGTGTTAATTATGGCTGTCTAAGATTGTAGTCTGATGTCAAGTGACGTCCTCAACACAGGCCAAGATAATTCCCTTGTGGGGATGGACTGGCTCTATGACTTGGTCTGGCTCTGTGTCTTGGTCTGACTCTGTGACTTAGTCTCACTCCGTGTCTTGGTCTGACTCTGTGACTTTGTCTGGCTCCGTGTCTTGGTCTGCAAGGACTATAGGACAAGTGCCAATTTCTAACGCTGACTAGCTTATCTGGTCCAGAGCTTTATTAGTTACAGCCTGCCATGATATTGCTGAATATTTCTCAGTGTGGTGTTAAACAACAAACAAACATTCTAAAAAAGCATAATTTAAAATGATAATCACTATGCTTTAGGATGTAATTTTCTCTGTCATCATATACAGAATATATTAGATCATACATTGGAGTCAAATAGACCCCGTCACATTCATGTTGTTTGTGCCAGTTTTACTGCTTTGCTATTCAAATGATAATATACCTACTAAGTTAAAATAACAAAATTTCAAAACCGAGTTGATATGCATAACAGGAATGAAATGGTTACATGATCCATACAACATGATATCAATGCCCACCACCAGATCAAGCTCATAGAGAACCTCACCCACCTGGCAGAGTTACGGGTCCTTAACCTGGCCGGCAACCAGATCCGCCATGTTGACAACTTGATGGGGATGGATGCGTTAGCGGAACTCAACTTACGGAGAAACAGGATACTAACTATTGTGAGTTGGAAAATATTTTTACCCTGTTCCACTGTCTGTAGTCCCAGAGATTGTAAACCATGTGTCCTGTTCCACTTTCTGTAGTCCCATTGTCTGTAATCCCAGAGATTGTAAACCATGTGCCCTGTTCTACTGTCTGTAGTCCCAGAGATAGTAAACCATGTGCCCTGTTCCACTGTCTGTAGTCCCATTGTCTGTAGTCCCAGAGATTGTAAACCATGTGCCCTGTTCTACTGTCTGTAGTCCCATTGTCTGTAGTCCCAGAGATTGTAAACCATGTGTCCTGTTCCACTTTCTGTAGTCCCATTGTCTGTAGTCACAGAGATTGTAAACCATGTGCCCTGTTCTACTGTCTGTAGTCCCAGAGATAGTAAACCATGTGCCCTGTTCCACTGTCAGTAGTCCCATTGTCTGTAGTCCCAGAGATTGTAAACCATGTGCCCTGTTCTACTGTCTGTAGTCCCAGAGATTGTAAACCATGTGCCCTGTTCCACTGTCTAGTCCAAAGGATTGTAAACCATGTGTCCTGTTCCACTGTCTGTAGTCCAAAGGATTGTAAACCATGTGTCCTGTTCCACTGTCTGTAGTCACAGAGATTGTAAACCATGTGCCCTATTCCACTGTCTGTAGTCCCAGGGATTGTAAACCATGTGCCCTGTTCCACTGTCTGTAGTCCCAGAGATTGTAAACCATGTGCCCTATTCCACTGTCTGTAGTCCCAGAGATTGTAGACCATGTGTCCTGTTCCACTGTCTGTAGTCCCAGAGATTGTAAACCATGTGCCTGTTCCACTGTCTGTAGTCCCAGAGATTGTAGACCATGTGTCCTGTTCCACTGTCTGTAGTCCCAGAGATCGTAAACCATGTGCCTGTTCCACTGTCTGTAGTCCCAGAGATCGTAAACCATGTGCCTGTTCCACTGTCTGTAGTCCCAGAGATTGTAGACCATGTGTCCTATTGCACTGTCCAATGGCAGGACAGGGCACACGGACTACAATCTCAGGTTGTGACAGAAAGTCAAAGGGTCATTATAACACTCTTTGTTCCCCCTCTCCCCAGGTGGATGTAGACACTCTCCCCAACCTGCAAAGACTCTTCCTCAGCTTCAATGATATATGCAGGTAAGGAGCTAGCATTGTAGTAGAAGTGTACAGTGTTACTTTGTGTAGACATTGCCCAGTCAACTCTGGGCACTGCCAACGTCCCACCTATGTCCCAACTCCCAAGAACTGTTGCTGGGTTTGTTAATGGCAACAAATGTGTGTGAGAGTTTTTATTGAGAATGATTCAGTTTGAAAACAAGCCCAGTTCCCTGATTCTATCAATGTATTAGACAACCCAGATAGCTTCAGTAGTCTTGTCAAGGCTTCTGCCGGATGTTAGTTATATCCAAACTAGTGTTCAACAGCATTGTCAATACTTTAATGTAATAAATTTAGGAATCTCTAGATTCAATTATTTTAGAACAAGTCTCAAGGACCATCCTTAATTTTGAACACTGACCAGGCCTTACCCTGATTGACTGATACCCAGGAATGGTCCAATTACAGTTTTAGGATGTCATTAATTGCACTGATATTGGAGTGGTGACATGTGGTCCTGTGCACAGCACACAGCACACAGGTCGCAAATCAAGTGAAATTAAGCAATGTCATTCCGTCAGTAGTTGCATGGGAGAGCACATTCATCTTGACTCCTGAGAGTTTTTAGGGCTTTGGTCCTGCCCCACACTGAGGAACAAGAAGCACATGTGGTGTCTCCTTAGGCAAGTGATTTTGTTTGAAATATACCTCTGTTCACCCAGCAGTAAATATGGGAAGCCAGTAGACATGGTAGATGAGATGGTAATGTGACCGTTAACCTTCTAGCGCCTGGCAAGGCAGCTGGGGTTGTATACTCCCTAGGGAGCTGAGAATGAATGATCCATTGACCAGGGTAAAAATGTTACCACTTTGAGGATGTACTGAGTTTGTGGAGGCTAGTGCTCCTTAAGTTCACACATTATTATTGTGATTATATTATTATTTTAATCACTTGCTATACATGTTTTTAGAAATAGATTTGACTGTGTATCCGTCAAGTATTCAAAGGCAGATTTTGTTTGTCAAATACTGTCCAGGGTGAGTGTCAGAACAATGTTTGTGTCACTGTGGCCATGTCAGGTATGAGTGATCCCACACAACACACACATCCACACTGAGAAGCAGACCTAAAATATAAACATGGTTGCATTCCCCATTTTCTACATACTGCACAATACTCACAAGCAGATTGAGCCTGTAAGCTACAACTATAGTCAAATCTGGACCAGACGATCCAGTGACTGATATTTTGAGGAATGATCCACATCTTCAGTGTACGATGACACGCAACCGAGCCTGACGACCCAATACATTAAGTCACCCCATAGGATCAACATCGGTTGTTAGGGGGAGATTTAACAACAAAGGGCTTGCTCCTGCTAAACGTTACTGGCCCTTCTCCAAACTAACTGGCCTACAACTAAATGTTGGAGGCCGTGAAGTGCCATCCTCTCCCCTAAAAAGTTTTTTCCTGCACCCTGAGATTAGATCTTGGCTTACATTTGCCTCATTTCATGCCAATTTATGAGCAAATAAAGATGTTGTTGTACACAACATTACAGAATGGCGGCCGGTTGTCATTCTACAGAGATGATCCAATTAACAAACTTTAACATAAGTGGAGAAGGGGTGAAATTTAACCCCTGATTTATGGAACTTTTCTTTCCAGATTTTCAAATGTATGTGTTTTAATATTGTATTACTGGGGCTTAAAAACATAAAAGTATTGGTTCTCAGGCAATGGCTTTTGGAAAAATAGTGCATTTTCTTTTCTTTCTTCAAACTAGAAATGTATGTAGCCAAATAAACAGTTATGTACAATCAACCTGGGAAAGGGCCTTCCTACATAAATGTATTCCTTGATGAGTAAATACTGGAATACAGTATTTGACCATCATATGACTACCAGTGTGTGCATAATACACCATACAATAAGATTCAATTATATTTCACAACACAAAGATGTTATCATGAGCACGCGACACCAGACGAAGCATGTCCGTACTGAAGTACAGAAGTTAGTCCTGTTATTACACTATCTGGTAATGAAAGTGTTTATTGTGTATCGAGACGTAATCCATCATATTCCTTTTATCCGAGATCTCTTTCAATTTTGTTTGCATTAATTTCAGCAAAATCATGTATAAACTGATCGACAAATCACTTCAGCTCACCATGAACTCGCCTTGAAACAAACATTAGTTGATAGAGATGCAAAGTCTTCGGTTTTCCTGTCACTGTATTGAAATTTCTTTTCAGTTATGACACTGGCCATGACATTAAGTATTTCTAAAACTAAATTACTTCAGGCTCTCCTCCCAAATCAAACTGACAGACAATAACATGACTGAACTACTGTTCAAATCTTTCGGCCATGGGAGCCGTGCCAATTTACACTTGTCAGAGGGTTCACAAAGTATGTGATCTAGACTACCAGTTGTCAGAAGATCTGGGGTAGAATAGGTCTTCAGCAACCCATGCTTGCCGTAAAAGGCGACCATGCTTTGTCGTAAGAGGCAACTAACGGGATAGGGTGGTCAGGCTCACTGACTTGGTTGATGCATGTCTTTGATCCCAATTGCATGGATCGATGCTCATTGTGTCAATCACTGGATTGTCTGGTCCAGACTTGATTATTTACAGACCGCCGTCATACAGTTAGAATATTTCTGAGTGTGGCGTAAAACAACAAACAAACAAACAAACAAACTTTGTGTGCTGACAATTAGGTGCCTCGCTCTGGGAGTGTGGGTTCCAATCCTGGATGGGACTTAACCAAAAAGGTTTATGCATTTGTACTGTACTAAGAAAGGGTTAAACCCAACTCTCTTACGCTCACTGTTTTGCAGTGGTATTGAGGGTGTTGATTCTGGACAGTATGTTGATAACAGCCAACTTGAAGCAGTGACCTTGTGTAAAATGATACACAAAACTTTTTGTTATCAATGTGGTTCAAAGTCAGCAATTAATAAATACACATACAAAGCACATGTGCCTAATGATTTCACGTGCTATACCACATCATTCATATGGATTTGGCCTAGCAGGAATATATTTATTCTCTTCCCGATGATATAGATCCTATATGGTGTCTATTGTTTCAACCGTTACTTAACTGGGAGTGCTCTAGCAACATGATGTAGGTCAATCTGTCACCGAGCTGATGCTGTGATGCAGAGAATCATATCAAGTCCTTGAATGACATTTAGATGTAAAACACATAAGGAAGAGAATTAATTAGTTATGAGGTGAGGTGAGGTGAAATGGGGTTTAACGTCGCATCCAAGATTATTGCACTTATATAGCGACGTGCATGCACGTGTATGTGTGTGTGTGTGGCTGCTTGTACTAGTCCGGACTGATGCCGATTTATAGTGCAAGCACACTGAGATACCATGCCGCAGTTAAACATGAATACCCCACTCGGACACAGTATACTGACTCCGAGCCGACCAGTCCTTGTTTTAGGCCCTTAATGTCGAGCGCCAGACAGGGTAGCAACAAGTACCATCTTTTAACGTCTTTTGGTATGACACGGCTGGGGATCGAACCCCGGACCTTCCGCTCTCTGGGCAGACGCTCTACCATTAGACCACGGAGTCGGTCGAATTATGAGGAACAGAATGTTTCGGAGTGTATACTTACTTCTTCATCAGGTGAATGAAGACTAAATATCGCAGACTAAATATCACATTGACAAATATATGACGTTTGTCAAACAAAAGATTCTTTCTTCGCGGTGGTGTTCTCTTGTCAATTGAACAGTTTGATGAAATAATAAAGATTTCATTTTAGAAATAATTAAACGCTCTTGCCACAGATATCCTTCAGTAATTTTTATTCCAAGCTGAAAATGAGGTATGGGTGGCCCAGTGGACTGAGGCACTGCAAGTTGATTTGTGGAGTTTAAACCCTGACCCATGCAGGATTGGCTGGTCATGGGTTCGAGTCCCTGATTTGTCTGGTGATGGTCCTCAGTCTGCCAGCACTATACCCAACCTGTGGATGCCCGTAAGCTTTAAGTGTCACTACATTCAGTGACTTCCTCAACGTTTAGCTGACATGCTGTGGTATGACTGACATTGTGTTCAGCGCTACCTTGAACAAAACTGACTGACTCACACACTCGGTGCAGGGGATTAAGTCTTCAATTGACACAGAGCTCCAGATAACCTTTTGAGCAGTTGAGTTTTTACTCTAGGGTTTCTATTTTAATTGGGTTATTACATTTTTCATTTGGTAACCAATATTTTTTCACTCATCTATTCTTCCCCTCTATTTTTTCCCCAAATCAGTGAACATTTTAAGATTTTGAAAAAATTGAAATAATGATTTAGATGTATATAACTGTTCTTAATAGGCTTGACTCGGAAAGTAAATTAGCTCGTAATTGTGTTTCGGAAATTAGCTCCTTTGTACGGACAAAGCTTCATTGGGTAATTACGCGAGCTGTTTTTATACATTTGAGTTTTTCATTTAATGTATGTGTTTTGGTACGCACGTTAATTGAAAGTAATTGGGTTTTGAATATTTCGGGGGGTATTTTATGCAAATGCTCTGCTTATCTGTAGCTCTGATTGACACATTATTTTGTACAAGTGAGCAGACAGACACCTCAGTGAATGGACAGATTTACAGTAGGACATGTTTGATAAAGGAAGCTTACTGACCCATGAGGCCATTTATTGAACAAAGGGATATCCCTTTCACCACTAGAAGTGCAACACCGCATTGTCAGGTCATGCTGCTTTGTAGTGGGTTAATATGGAACTCATTCCTCAATGTGTCCGAATCAAAGCCCTTCATAAGCCCACACAATGAGACCCCCACAGTTACTGTCTGGTGCAGACAGCTTGTCTGGCTTGTTGGAAGGAGTCGTCTGTGAACTTACTGCAGGAACAGGATTGTTATGATGGAGACATCTCTGACCAATTAGGTGAGTGTTTTAGTACTCAAACTGTAAGAAAATAAGTAATGTTGGCATTTGTGTGGACTTTGCCATAAAGGTGTTTCCTTATCCATGAATATCTCATCACATG